TTTATATTATATTTCAGTTTGATCAGACATCAGATATCAGCACTACCTTTCATTTTCAAAGGATCAGGTGGGGACTCAGACTGGGTATTGCATTGATTATAATTACGCTACCATGTTTGAGGTATGTATTATCAGTATCCGCTCGGAATGGTCGCCGGTCCATTCTGGGTTTTAGTGGCCTTAGTCTGCCCGCTAGAGTGTGCACATGGTGTCCGGCATTTTTATGCTGGCAGATGTTCAGTTATCAGTCAGGTAATATTTATCACGAGATCAGTATCAGATTATTCAGTACCGGTATCAGCTATTAGTTTCAGTTTCAGTTCAGTTATATATGCCAGGATCATGATATTGTTATTATTTTCACTGTTTGCTTTCGTATGAGTTTCTGCGGAGCACAGTGGATTAGTGCTCACGCCCCCACATTATTCATGTTTTTTTTCAGGTCATCGAGTCGGAGCCGAGGAGTGAGCGGGCGACTGGTTCAGGACATTTGTATATATGTATAAATCATGTTTGGCTACACTATGATTCCGTTAATGTGTCAGTTTACTAAACCAGCTTTTGATCCGACGTTAGTCGGTTATTATATTATATAACCGTTTTGTTATTAAATTAAAATAACGGTTTTTTTTTTGATAAAGTCAGATTTCACGGTAACACTCCGAATCAGTATTTCGCAAAATAAATATTTTTATTTAGAAAATTTTGCTAAAAGCGCGCTATGAATTTCATGAAATAGCGGGGTGTTACAATTGGTATCAGAGCACGTTTCTGCGTCTCTGAAAAGTTTTTACGAGTCAGAAATTTTCAAAAACCTGAATCGTCACGCTCATGCCTCGCCGACTACAGGTAAGTGCTGATTTATGTTTTAAGTTATAAACAATTTGCTTTGTCTATGCTCAGAAATTTATTAATCATGACTTAGTTAAGATACTCGAATCAGGTTCAGAACTTATAGTTCAGTATATTCAGATTTAACTCTAGATTTCCCCATGATTAATGTCAGTATTTTCCAGCCATATTTGACAACTCGTCAAGAGATTTGTGTGCTTTAGTAATCAGTTAAAGTATTTTTCATGTGTTCAATAATATTGAACTTCCTCAATGATCAGATGCCGCCCCGTAGGGAACCCCATCACCCGGTTATTCCCTAGGCCACAATAGTTGCACAATTCCGCGACTATCATCCTGAGAAATTCTCAGGTCAGGGAGATCCTCGTATTGTGGATGAATGGATTCAGGGCCTTGAGTTGATTTTTGAGGTCATGGACTGTCCAGATCGCTATCGCGTCATATGCGCACAGCTTTAGCTGACCGGTGATGCTCGACTCTGGGGAATGCCTACTGGAGTATGCGTCCCGGCGAGAAAGAAGGTTGTACCTGGGAGAGGCTCAAGGAGCTAATCCGCGAGAAGTACTATCCCACGTACTACCGAGCAGAGATGGAGCGTCAGTTCCTGTCGCTCAAGCAGGGTGCTCGTTCTGTTGATGAGTACGAGAGGGAGTTTACTAGACTTGCAGCTTTTGTTCTGAACTTGGTGC